TATCCTTGATTTCCTTATATACTTGATTCCCTTATATTCTTGATTTCTTTACATTTTTGATTTCTTTACATTCTTGATTTCCTTATATTCTTGATTTACTTACATTCTTGATTTCCTTACATTCTTGATTTCCTTAGATTCTAGATATCCTCACATTCTAGATATCCTCACATTCTTGATTTCCTTACATTCTCAATTTCCTTTTATTTCTGATTTCCTTACATTCTTGATTTCCTTATTTTCTTGATTTCCTAACATTTTTGATTTCCTTTTATTCTAGATTTCCTGATATTCTTGATTTCCTTACATTCTAGATTTCCTGATATTCTTGATTTCCTTAAATTCTAGATTTTTGCCTCGATTCAATGCAGAATAATAACTTTAAACTTCAGATTGTAATCTTAAAAGAATATTATTTTGTTAGTATAAAGTATCATGCACTAGTGCACAATTTACATGCAATGCAAATAGGATCTCATTTTGAAAAAAAAAACTATTTTTTTTCTCTAATTTGGACAAGAAAAAGTAAATTTAAGACTGTACATGTATAAAAAGTACATAATTATTACACTGACACATAAATATTGATAATACTAATGTGGCTTCATAAATATTGATAATACTAATGTGGCTTCATAAATAACTTCTAGATCATTTATTATTAAATAGCCTGACCTCTTGTATGTTGTGCAACAATAATATTAAAGCAAAGGTTGGAACTTTTGAATTGTTAATTATTTCACTAATCTGGATTTTATTTGGTCTGAGCTGAAAACTTTAGAATGTGATATCCTTAATCCGGATCTGTTGACTTTTCTGGAGATTAAAATCAAGAGTAAAACAAGCAATATTTAATCTGGAGATTAAGAAAAGAGTGGATTAAGCATTAATCCTGATATCCACTATTCAAAAGTTTTCAGCTCTGATGGATTATATTAAATCCATGTGGATGTCCTATATTTCCAGTTTCTGCACAACTTCACTATTTTTTCGGTCAATGTACTGCAAATCGCTGATGAACAAATCGAAAGCTTTGTTGAGAGTGATATTAATGCTTTGCTTGTCTGTTTGTTTGTATCCAATAAACGTTAAAACGGCTGAACCGATCGGGCCCCCATTTTTTGGGGACTTTACATGATCCCAGGGAAGGTTATAGATGATCAGAATTTCAAAAATCTGTTTCCAAAAAAATTATTTTCGTAAAATTTGACTTTAAAACTTTTTTGTTATTGTTTTATACTTTGCGAAGAAAAAATGCTCGCCGTCAAAAAAGAAGATGGGAGCTAAGGGCCCTAAAAGCCTAGTGATCAAGTATGAAGGATCTTGATCACTTTAAACAAAAAAAAGATTTCATTTGAAATATTGAGTTCAGGCATTGCAGATTAGCATACAAGTTTCAACTTCAGTGTAGGAAACTAGTTCAACTAGCCTTCTCTACTACTTAACTACTTTAATCTATTCATAAATTCCAAGCACAGGTTGTCTTCATCGTATAAATCAATTTGCAACAACTTCCTATTTAAATTATTATACCAGAAGTTAGACTTAAACAGTTCATCAAGAGAATCTGCCAATTAACAGCTTCTCTTTGTTTACTTACAAAATTATTATTTGAAAAATCAAAATATTATTAGTAAAAAGTCGTCTTCATTGCATTGATTTATTCGCCGATCTCTTTATATATTCTAGGGTAAAAGATTGTTAAGATTGAAGCCCACCAACTCCTCCTCCTCAGCCTCAATAGTTTTATCATTTACTCCCTCCCCACCGAACAAACCTAGAGCTAAATGGGAATATCCTTGTGTTTCCGAATTAAGGTAATTATAGATAAGATAGATAAAATAAAGTTTATTGCTAAAATACATCTATCTGTTTACAGAACGAGTTTACAATTACAAATTAATGATTATATTAACAGTACAAGTATAAAGAAATTAGGTGGAAAATAGCTCTTGGCTGTTTTGATTATTTTTTCCACCTAATTTCAATAATGATAACAAAACATTTCAATTAAATAGATTTAAGGAGAACAATCAGAGGGACTAAAAAGGGAATTTTAAGCAACCCTCAATGCAAAGAATGCAATGCCCGGCTTACAACGGTACCCTGAAAAGCTTTGTGTGATCAAGCATGAATTAGACTGTCATGTTTTTGATTATAAATACTAAATGTGGGTTCTCTACAAAAGTGACTTGCATGTTTATACATCAAGAAAACAACTAAAAAAATCAGATTTTAAAACTTTTAAACCTAGAAAACGTCATTATTAATAAGACAAAGGTGTTAAGGATATAAGATATGGTCATCTTTGGATGGAATACCAATTGAAATTACGCGTACAGTCCCTTTAACATTCATTTAAAGGAACTGTAGGCGTAATTGCAATTATAAGGTGGTATGTCTGATTTAAAAAGGTGCCTTTTCACTAATCTTGAAGATTTTAAGATATAGTCATCTTTCATATAAAAGTTATTTACAGTTTTGAATACTCTATAAAATGTAATTGTCAAGCAGATAAAGGTTTGAAGAAATATTATAGATTCTACATATTTGTAGGTGTTACAATCTTTATTATCGAGTAATTGTCAAAAACCAAATAAAATTTACAAGATAATTTAGATAAGACATTTCGCCGAAAATGAGAAATTTCACAAAAATTTTCTTTCATATTTTGCGAGAAAAAAGTGACAATTTCGCGAAATTTAAAAATGTTTGCTTTTTTGAACGGAATGCAAAAAATGCAAAAACTTTCGCGGACCCATTTCCCAATTTTGCTGAAAACTATGCTTTTAACCCACTTGAAAACATGTTTTGTTTTGTTTTCCAGCTGTTTTACTGGACCTGATCATCCAGTCACATCTATTCTTGGTTCAATCATCATATCATCTGTTGTTGCAGGTTAATAATAATATGCTTAAAGGGAATGTTCGCGAAAATAAAAGGGGGGGGGGGTAGGTTCAATCCTAAGCAAATTGGAATTCAATCGCAATTAATTTATTTCTGTCTGTTGGGTCTGTAGGGAGAAAATCGTTTAAAACTATTAATACCTAAAAGTGTAAGAGCCCATGTAAATTCATTTAAATGCATTATTCAAATCAAATCGTAAACAATTAAATTAAAATTATAACTTAATCTTAAAATCTTAAATATATGAATTCTAAAGATGTTTAGGGTAATTTTAATGAAGTAATCATATCATGATTTTTTTTCTAATTTAAGTATTATGCACTTTAAAGGACAATTCTTGGCCGCAAGGTGTCTTTCGCAGAGAAATCAGTAAAATCTGTAAAATCTATGTATGGACAAGGAACCAGTGGATTTTTTACCTAAAGAAGCGAAAAAATGGCTAAAATTTGGCAAACCGAACAGTAAAACGAGTTCTCAAAATCTTAACTCAGTTGTTGTAAATTATTTTTAAACTTACTCAGATTTACGTCGAAAAAATATCAAAATTTTAACATTTTAATGATTTTGATTTTTCTAGGATTGATTTTCCTTTTGTGGATTTGGACCTGCTACTGTAGATATTTAACCAATAAGAAATTGGTTTATCAGGTCATTATTTATTAGATAAATTATTCAAATATTGAAACTAATTAGTTTGAAAATTATCTCCTCATCTATTTGTTATGATGAAAAAACGCGGTCTCGAAACCATGTATGTATCTTTTTATACACCTTGACATATAGGCGGACTACTTTTTACAGGGTTACCCAAAAGGGATTAGAATTCAATGGCAACATGAAAATGTTTAAATCACAAACTCAATCTGACAAAATCTGTCTTAAACATTTTGATGGCAAACTAAATAATTTGTCAAAGAAAAAAAAAATGTTCAGGTACTAAAAAATGCAAGTAAAAACTTGTAGAGAATGGGTAGTTGTATCTGATGTGTTGGGTATTTTCCAAAAGGGCTTTTTGGAACAGGGCGACTTCCCAAGTTACCATTTCTCAAGTGGCAACTTCCCAATGATTATGTTAGGTCTTCTAACGCGCTGCAGTCTGCTATTGGGCGGGATGGCCGAGCGCTGTGACTAAGGTGGGCTAGTGGGAACGATCCCTGCAGCTATGCCAGGCTAGTGAGCCAAGTGCTGCGGCTAGAACAGACTTAAAAAATTGCTGCTGGGAAAAATTACACATTTGGGGAAGTTGCCATTCGGGAAACAATTTAAAATGGTCTTTAAAGTCTTATTTTTGTGGATAACCCTGTACTAAAACTGTTTAGAGAGAAGAGATAAAGAAAACTGGAATAGCTCATATTGTGTTGGCAGCAGATCAAGATTGTAAACTAAACTATTTAGGTCAGATTAAAAAGGTTTAAAGGAATTATCAACGTAATTTCAAGTGCTCATTTGTCAACAGTACTATTTAATCCTTGGTTTTATCCTAAAAAGAAAGTTAGTGAGATATAAGTTTAAAAGGAACTGTTATGAAAAGATGCAACTCCGTAAATGAGGTGATACTTAAAATTTTGTTGACAATCCCGTTAATTTTTTTCGGAAACTTTGCGGTAATTTTTTATGCTTTTTTAAAAGTAGTATAAAAGTTCACCTGCTTAATGATTGTCTGCTAGAAAAGTTACACTGTAAAAAAGCGCACACTTACAAATCATTAGTACAAGGAGATACAGAATCAAAAAGAATAGAATATACATGAGAGGGGAATTTACTAGAAAAAAGTGTAAAACGGCCATTTTGTTGTACTGTTTCCATACTGCAGATGTACTTCACATATTTATGCTATATAACCTTTTGGGCCCTGGAATATAATTTTATAGAGAATCTAAAATTAATATTAAAAGAAAATCAAATTATGAAATAGGCTGGTTTCATAATTGACCAATGATCATTTCACATAGACTCTAAGCCTCTCACTTTACAAACGATGATTTTACGTTATAACTATAAATCAAATGATGTTTTTTATTCACCTAATTCATTATAAAGTTTATTTAACAGCTTTAAAAATTCGAAGTTGAAATGGATAATCTAGGGAACATACTGTATTAATGTACTCTACTGCATATAATTTGTGAACATTACATGATTGGTACACTTTGAACTCCCTTTCAGGCTGAAAGGGACTGAAAAAATTCATACCGAGAGATTTTCTAAATTCCCCTCTAATATATATTCTATTCTCTTTGTATAGAATACAAGGAGTGGGCTGCTGGGCGATGGGATTTCTGTAACTTTGCTGTGACGTTTTTGAACTGCTGAAGAACTAGTTTTTGCGTTACAACAATAATAAAGGCAGCTGATCTAATGTAAACAAACATGAGTTAGTAAACAGTGAATCTTGTTGAAAGTAAGTGATGGATTTACGGATATGATGGCAGAAGGTAGTGTCTTTCCCCCCTCCCAAGATGTGTCTCAGAAAGTTTGAATATAAAAAATACTTTAAAATCTCACTTTTGCCCTTAACTAAAAAAGTTTCATTAAATAATTTTGTCACAAAGGTTAATAACAAACCAGATGTCTTTATTATTGTTGTTACGCAGAAACTAGTTTTTCAGCAGTTCAAAAACGTCAAAACAACGTGTACGGAAATCCCATCGCCCCCACCTTGTATTCAATACCCCTTGCGTACCTCTTACTAAAAGTGTAGACACCCCCCCCCCTTGTAGGAGGAGAGTGGGGTGTCGACACTTTTCTATACAAGGAAAATTAAAAAAACTCTAGAATACCTTCCATCCCCTATAAAGTTGTTTACCAACTTTTTTACAAATAGTTCAGTTTCCAATTTCAAAGTAAAAAAGAAAAACAAGAACTAAAAGAATTCAAATGTTTTCTGGTTTTCATTATATAAGTGTATATTTACCTATTCTAATTTTAGAGAAATTAAAGTTAGAGATGAAGGATGAAATAAATACCTGATCTTTGCTTAGAGAAATTAAATTTAGAGATGAAGGATGAAATACCTAACCTTTATTTTAAAGAAATTAAAGTTAGAGGTGAAGGATGAAATACCTGACCTTTGCTTAGAGAAATTAAATTTAGAGATGAAGGATGAAATACCTAACCTTTATTTTAAAGAAATTAAAGTTAGAGGTGAAGGATGAAATAC